TTTGAGACAGAAAACAAAAAACAAAGAAATATTTTGAGACAGAAAACCAACAAATATTGGATTTAAACAGCTCCACAGACTAAATACACCTAATAGATATTTACAAACATTTTATTTAATAGCTGCAGAATGCACATTCTTTTCATCAGCACATGGAACATTCCCCAGTAATGCCCATAGGCTAGACCACAAACATAGCCTCAACAAGTTCAAAAAAAATAGAAATCATATCAAATATTTTTTCTGACCACGATGGAATAAAACTAGAAATCAATAATAAGAGGGACTTTCAAAACTACACAAAAGCATGGAAATTAAACAACATGATCCTAAACAACCAAAAGGTCAAAGAAGAGATTAAGAAGGAAATAAAAAAATTTTTGAAACAAATGAGGACAAAAACAAAATATAGCAAAACCTATGGGATACAAGGCAGTATTGAGGAAATTTTATAGCAACAAACACCTATATCAAAAAAATAGATTTCAAATAAACAACCTAATGTTATACCACAAGGAACTAGAAAACCAAGGACAAACCAAACCCCAAATCAGTAAAAGAAAAGAAATAACAAAGAACAGAGCAGAAATAGATGAATTAGGGATTAAAAAACACAAGACAAAGGATCAATAAAATAAAGAGTGGGTAGGGCAGGCTGTTAGATCAGCTGGTTAGAACATGGTGCTGATAACACGATGGACCAGGGTTTGATCCCTGTATCAGCATGACAAAAGTGGCCATGAACATAGTTAAAAGGGTCAAACAAAAACAAAGAGTTGGTTTTTCAAAAAAATAAATGAAGTTGATAAACGTTTAGCTAGAGTAGTGAAGAAAGAGACAAGACTCAAATAAAATCAGAAATGCAAAAGGAGACATTACAACTGATACCACTGAAACACAAAGGGTCATCAGAGACTGTTGTGAACAATTAAAAGCCAATAAATATGAAATCAAGAAGAAATGGATAAATTTGTGGACACATATGACCTACTAAGACTGAACCAAGAAGAAAGAGAAAACCTAAACAGACCAATAACAAGTAGGAAGATTGAATCAGTAATAAAACGTCTCCCAACAAAGAAAAGCCGAGGACCAGATGGCTTCACTGCTGAATTCTACCAAACATGTAAAGAATACCACTAATTTTCAAGCCATTTCAAAAAACTGAAGACAAAATTTCTCCAAGTTAATTAAGAGGCTAGCATTATCCTGATACCAAAACCAGACAAGGACACACACAAAAAAGAAAACTACAACCAATATCCCAATGAACATAGATGCAAAAATCTTCAATAAAATACTAGCAACTCATATCCAACGGCACATCAGAAAGATTATACACCATGTTCAAGTGGGATTTATCACAGGGATGCAAAGATGATTCAACATATGTAAATGAATAAATGTAAAACATCACATCAACAGAATGAAAGAAAAAACCATATGATCATCTTGACAGACAAAGAAAAAGCATTTGATAAAATTCAACATCCCTTCATGATTAAAACTCTCAACAAATTAGGTATAGAAAGAAAGTATCTTAATGCAGTAAAGGCTATATATGGCAAACCCAGCTAACATCATACTGAATAGGGAAAAGCTTTCAGCTACAACAAGACAAGGATGCCCACTCTCACCACTTTTATTCAGTATAGTACTGGAAGTCCTAGCCACAGCAGTTAGGTAAGAGAAAGAAATAAAGGGCATCCAAATTGGAAAGGAGGAAGTCAGACTGTCCCTGTTTGCAGATGATGTGATTTTATATACAGAGAAACCTAAAGAATGTACCAAAAAACTCCTAGTCCTCATAAATTCAGTAAACTTGCACAATACAAAATAAACAAAGAGAAATCAGAAGCACTTCAGGATACAGGACTGGGGAAAGATTTTATAAGTAAGACTTCTAAAGTGCAGACAACAAAAGCAAAAGTAAGGGCTGGCCCGGTGGCGCACTGCTATAGTGCGCCGCTTGGGAAGCGCGGCGGTGCTCCCACCAAGGGTTTGACAAAAGCAAAAGTAAGGGCTGGCCCGGTGGCGCACTGCTATAGTGCGCCGCTTGGGAAGCACGGCGGTGCTCCCACCAAGGGTTTGGATCCCACATGCGGACCGGTTCCCGCTCACTGGCTGAGCGAGGCGCGGGAGCAACACCGAGGGTTGCGATCCCGTTGCTGGTCCCAGCCCGGTGCGGGGGCGACGCTGAGGGTTGCAATCCGTTGCCGGACACGGAAAAAGACAAAAAGGAAAAAAAAAAAAGCAAAAGTAAACAAATGGGATTATACCAAACCAAAAAGCTTCTGTACAGGAAGGGAAACAGTTGATGGAGTGAAAAGACAATTTGCAGAATGGGAAAAAATATCTGCAAACTATGCATTGATAAGAGATTAACATCCAGACTACACAAAAAACTCAAACCCAACAGTAAAAAAGCAAATAATCTGATTAAAAAATGGGCAAATGAACTGAAGAGACATCTCTCTAAAGAAGACATACCAGTGGTCAATTGGTGTTTGAAAAAAATGCTCAACATCACTAATCATTAGAGAAATGCAAAGCAAAACCACAATGAGATGTCATCTCACCCCAGTTAGGATAACTATTAACAAAAAGACAGAAAATAACAAATGCTGGTGAGGATGCAGAGAAAGAGGAACTCTCAAACGTTGTTGTGGGAATGTAAATTAGTATAGCCATTATGGCAAACAATATGGAGATTTCTCTAAAAACTACATATAGAACTACTATATGTTCCAGCAATCTCACTACCGGGTATATACCCAAAGGAATGGAAATCAACAAGTTGAAAGGATACCTACACTCCCATGTTTATCATGGCTCTATTTACAATAGCCAAGAGTTGGAACCAACCTAAATGGTCATCAATGAATGATTAGATAAAGAAAATGTGGTATATACACACAATGGAATATTACTTGTCCGTAAAAAAAGAATGAAATTCTGCACTTTGCAGCAACATGAATGAGCTTAGAGAAAATTATGTTAAATGAAATAAACCAGACACAGAAAGAGAAATATCACATGGTCTCACTCATACACAGAAGCTAAAAAAGTTGATCTCATAGAAGTAGAAAGTAGTAATGGTTACTAGAAACTAGTAAGGGGAAATAGGAGGGGAGGATGCGGAAATGGTGGTCAATGGATATAAAATTATACAGAGATAGGAAGAATAAGATCTAGCATTCTATAGCAATACAGGGAGATTACAGTCAACAACAAATTACTGTATAACTTTGAGTAGCTAGTTGAGAGGATGTTGAATGTTCTCAACACAGAGGTGACAAATGTTTTAGATGACAGATATGCTAAACACCTTGATATGATCATTGCACACAGTATAAACATACCCAAATATCATATTGTACTCCATAAATATATGTGATTAACAAGGATCAATTAAGAAAAAATAAATTAAAAAGAAAAAAAAATTCAGAGACATAAGTAGATTAGAGGTTAGAAATGGGGGAGGGGTGGCGGGAAAGAGTAGTGAAATATTGTTGCTTAATCGTTACAGAATTTATGTTTAGAATGACAAAAAAGTTTTGGAAATAGAGGTGGTGGTTGCATAGCATTGAATGTAATTTATTCCATGGAACTGTATGTTTTAAAATGCTTAAAATGGCAATTCTTTGTTGTATATGTTTTATCACAATAAAAAATGAATAAATTTTTTTTTTAATTTTCTTAAATGAAGGAAAAAAAAGAATTTTAGTATGATATTCTTTGCTCCTTTGAAGTGAGATTCAGAAACACTCATTTTTGTCGAAGTACTCATTATTATAGGTAAATCCTGTCAAAGCTTGTATGGCTTTAGTGTTAAGCCAGTCTGTGCACCACTTCAAATGAAACATTTGTTCCAGTGTCTTGACAGAAACTTTGACAAAATTATTTCTTCTCTTTTTATAAGTTCTCTGTTGCTCTCCACAAATGAATTTAACTTGTTATATCTTTTAAGGGTGGTATATTTTTATCTCAGAGTGCTCTTAGAAACAATTTCTATTATTTCAGCTTTGCTCTGAGAAAAGGTTTTGAGAAAACTCATGAGTTTTGTTTTTTGTCAGTGTTCCTGATGTGGATATTTATTTATTCATTTAAAAGAAAAAAAAGTGGTTTCCAACCTTATCTACAAAAAGTTAACATTTTACAGAATATTACATTATATAATCTCTAATTCGCACAACGCTATTAGTTATTATCTCTAAATAGGTTAAAAACTAAAGTCAAATTACTGAAAATCACACATCTAATATGCAGCATAATTAGAAACTGACTCAATTTTGAAACAGCAAGTTCAAAGTTCTTTTCACACCAAAGCCACTAACCGAACTTAAATTTATTTTCTCCTAGGACATCATCTGAAGTCTTAAACTGGCTATTCCCAGGCTGCTTTCACTTCAAAGGTTGCTTTTTCCTGACCTAAATAAGGACAATAGAAAATCTCAGTCCAGAGGAAGCCTTTTCCAGCTCAACTCTGGTCAGTACAGATGCTTCTTAAGTCTCCTTAATCTCTGCTCTCTAGGTATCTTTGGGCTGCCTCTTGACCTTTTTGCTATGCCATACTTTTTAGAGAACGTATTCCCATGTACTATTTTAAACAGAAAACTTTCTTCTTAGCTGGCAGATATTGTTACATAAACACAATGGCATCTTAAGAACATACTTTAATACAACCATAAGATACATTTTGGTATATCATTAGTATAGCATATTATTGAAAATCTGGAACTCACCTGTAATAGATATACGAATAGCTCTTCCTTTACAAAACCATCTTTTCTTTTTATAAGAGGTATTACAACAAGCAGGGAGAGCAGAAGAACCAGCAAGCCTGCACCCATTCTGTTTAAAAATACAATTCACAATTTAAAATTTTCTTAAGATATTTACTGAACATATAACATGAAAACAATGAGATATTTTACTCTAACGCAGAATCTCTTAGTCATTTGGTTTAATCAAGATGAAGCAGCAAAAGGATACACAGGTATAACAGAAATAAAAATTTTAGATAAATATACAGTAGGGATGGGGTTATTTGTAAACTTTCCCCATAATTTTTTTAAGTATCTTTGCCTTATTTCTATGATTTGTTTTTTTAAAATTTTATGTATAACCAACTACCATGATTCTTAGCATGAACTGCTTAAATTAAAAAAATATATATAAAAGATAGCTAAACAAGTATATTATCAGTATATACAACATATATTTTGTGACTATGAGGACTTACTCATACAAAAAATTCTGCATTTATAATCTATATTATTTCTAGCAAGACAAACAAATGTCCTTTCTGTCATTGACCATGGTGCTTTCCTCAGTTGCCCCTGGCTAAAGAAAGGGTAGAACAGTGGTCACAAGAGTAGCATGCAGGTGAGACATTTGTATAGTAATGAAACTACAAATTATACTTTTCAAGAACACCAAGTATAGCTTCTAAAGTCAAAGGTGACTGATATCAAAAAAGAGGTGCACTATTGTTGATCTCTATTTCTCACCTCCTAAAAATCTGAATAACACAGGACAACTGAAATTATGTTAAGGACAGCAGAATTTGGAACCCAAATATAACAGAACTAAAAGAAAAGGAGTTGGTTTAATAGAAATGAGAAAGAACAAAATGCAGAGCTAGACAGTTAAGGAGAATGCAAAGCAGGAATTCCCAGGAAAATGTTTGGTTTTTGTTAGGTTTTGATTCTTTAAATACACTCTTTGAAAATCATAAGAAAAAAAGTAGTTATATATACAACATGGATTATCATTAAAACTTAGGAAAAATAGCTATATATGATCAAGATTCTTAGCTATTTTTCCTAAGTGTTAATTATTTAGAAAAGGAAAAAAGGAAGAATTGGTAAAGGGCCACAAAAATCAATTACATTGTATAATGATAAATAAATAAAAAACAATTTAAAAAGAGACAAAAAAAGGAAAAAAAGAAAAAGCAATGTATGACCAAGAATTTTTGCTTTTTCTTTTTTTACTTTTTAAAAATAATTTGGTACTTTAACTTACTGGCAAATATGTTTTTACTTCAGAGCACTGGAGTAACAGGGACATTACAGCTATGTTATACATATTTTTGCTTTTTCCTTGAATTTTATCCTTAAATGTTTCGTAAAGTTACATCTTTGTAATTCTCTAAAGAAGGGAGATGCCACGAGAGATCAAATGGGGAGTAGAAATCTCCATGAACCAAGAATCAAAATAAAGAAGTTGCAGATATAGCTAGGAAACCAACATAAACTAAAAATCACTGAGCAATTTAAATTTAAAGTATAGAGGGAAACAACATAATTTTTAAAAATACAAATTAGTTTTCTCAAATTTTAACAAGTTTATTTGCTTCCTGCATTCATCTTTAATAGAACATGCCAGTAGCAAATTTCCATGGAGACCATTTACACAATTTCTTTTCCTCTTAGCATGTGATAAATTCTGCACAACTATCAATACTGCTTGAGCAGGACTGATAGGCAGACTGATGAAAGGAAGGAAAGGGGCTTTATAGAAACAACAGAGGAGCTCACAGAGCAATCTGATGCAAGAAATAAGTGAAAATACCTGAATTTATTTTCTCACATACTATTTATACTTTATGACAGTTGCAAAACATTTTGACTCAGTAACACTCTAATAAAATTTGACTTAGATAGTATGGTCTTAGAATTCAATACAATTACTTTGGGCTCTGTTAATAAATTGCCTTCCTAGGAAAATTCTTGATGTATTCCATATTGGTATTCTCACACAAATGACAGAAAATGTGTAGAACCTCACAAATTAGCACATACTTAAAAAATATATATTGTTTATTTAATCTTCCTTCAGTCAAAAAAGATATACTCTCATCCTTTAAAGATTAGGCTAAAATGTTTTTTAACATGCTTATAGAATTCAGAAGAAAGTAACAAAGATAATTACATGATTAGAAAATAAGAGAAGAAATGTTGAATGAAATAATGAACAGTTAGATTGCCAAGCACACACATACAAACAGCCAACAAATAGGTTACTTGAAAATTATTTAAAAGTTCAGTTAAAAGCAAAGGTAACCAATTATTTCACAAATTTTGGGGAGTCATATTGAGGAGAAATAAATGTAACAGCAGAAATGGGGAATTCAGGTAAGGTACACAGAAGAATTTTTGAACAATTTCAGTGATTAAACATGGGAAAGTTATCAAGGTAAACAGAGTTTCCTCCCATGGAGATCTTTACAATCAGATCAGAATAGGAGAAAATTTCATTTTCCTAAGACATTTTAGTGTGGACATGATTGAAGGCAAAGTTAAGGATAATACAATGGCTTTTAGACCTTTTCATTTTGGCATCAGAACATTTTTTCACATGAAACTAAAACTTGTAACAATTCTCCAATATACAAAAGAAAGAAAACCTTCTAGATATATATATATATTTTTTTTGGTATTTTAAGTTATTGTTTGGTACAATTTCATTGTTTGTGATGACACAAAAGCATCTCCAGGGAGGCTTAATGACTCAGAGCCTGGGCCAAATCCTGACTAATGGTTTGATACTAGTATTTTAATTTTCAGTTTGTTAACGTGATTTTAAGCTCATTACCAAGATTAGGTTCAAATTTCATATTGTTGAATGAGAAAAAAATGGTATTGAAAAGAAAATAAATTAAAATATTATTCATACACTAGGGAGAGATCTGGCTTTCGACCCACAACAGGCATCAGTGGGAACACTGCCAGGAGCAAAGAGAAGAAAGTCCAACTCAGTGAGGTGATCTGAAATCAAGAAAAAAGTTATCTTTCACAAATGTGGTATAGAAAACAGTCATCAGTTTTTCACTGACCACAGGACCCTAAAATGAAAAGGAAATGCAAAACCTTACAGCTCTTTACTTAAAAAGTAATATAGTTACTTTTTATGAAGGACCTGTTGGGTTGTAAAGTAGTGTATTTGGTATGATATGAGCATTATTTTATTTAATTTTCACAGTAACATCAAGAGGAAGTTTTTATTATTCACAATATTTCAGACAAGGAAACTGAGCTCAGAGAAATTAAAATATCAGTACAGTCATGTGTCGCTTAATGATAGGGATACATTCTCAGAAATGTGTTGTTAGGTGATTTCATCATTGTACAAACATCACAGATTGTGCTTACATAAATCTATACAGTATATCCTACTACACACCTAGGCTATGTGGTATAGCCTATTACTCCTAGGCTACAAATCTGTATTGCATGTTACTGCACTGAATAATGTAAGGAAATAGTAACATGATAGTAAGTATTTGTGTGACAGCAATTTTCCTGTCCCATTCTAATCTTATGGGACCACTGTCACAGTGGGACCATAGTCCATTGCTGACAGAAATGTTGTTATGTGGCATATGACTGCAGTACCAGGCCCACAACTAGTAAAAGAACAGCCAGGGTGTAAACCTGGGTCTGATATTTCAAAGCAAGTGCTTCATTCAGTTTATGTTAAACCATATATTGATGACAATATCTATAAGAAAACTGGCCTGCAATAATAATCAAATAAGTTAGCCCAGAAGGAAAATAAATAAAAAATACTTTGTAATTAGATTAAGACAAAAAAAAAATCAATAACTGCCTTAATTGGAGATTTTATAGGTTCTTATAAGGTAAAAAGATATTTCTATCTTCCTGCCACTGCCATCAGAAAGTATGAAAGTGGAAACATGACAATACTCCTTGTAGAAGCACTGAAATTTCCTACCTAGCTAAAGGAAGAAAATCAAGAGTGATTATATTTTAAAATAATCTATCTCAAATATACACTTCTCCAGGAAAAAAAAATGAGTGGCTAAGGGTGTGGAGGGAGGGGACTCCTCTGACTCAAGTACAGAGTGTGGCCTCCTAAGACACTGTGCTGCTATGGGCCGTTCCTCATGTGCTCCATCATCTACATATCTGAGGTTAAAGGATCCGGAGATGGATATATCAGGTCTGCTTTTATGGCACTTCAATTACTACATAACTGGCTCATTTTGATATGAAAGTCTAAATGAATCACTGAAACATTAAAGGTAAATGTCAGTCTTCCTGTCAAAAGGACCAGGCTCTTTATATAAGGATACACTCTACCTTTTTCTTTAAAAATAAACAATTCCTTACGTTAAACATATGTCAAAACAATGTAGTTCCTGACCTGTCCTATGTCAAAATGAGTACTTATACCTTCGCTCGAGTCCACAGCTGAGTGAGAAATGGCCAAGTCGCAAATGCAGTAAGTCCAGCTGTAAGCATATAGCGGTAGAAAAAACTGAGAACCTAGTGATGCATTCCAAAGAAAAAATAAAAAATGAAGTCATTTAGTATTAGTTACAAATATAATAAAGAAATCTGAAAATGTTATAATCTGGTAAATTACTTACTAATACTTCAATTCCTAGGGTAAAGACTAACAGGTACCCAACAAAATGGCTCAGGGGAAAGGTCAACAGTGATGCAGCAAGGTCTTCAATAACTTGAAATCTGTTTTAAAAGATTACTTATAAAAATTAGATCATATATAATAAAAAATAAAAACTTGGCAAAAAGCTAAAAATCAGGGAATTTTCTATTCATAGATTATTCAATCTAAGATAAACTATAACAGATTTGTTTCGATTTACTTATCTAAACATTTTTTTGGAAATCTAGAAGTACTTTAAGGAAAATGTAATTTCTGAATTAATTTGAAAGTGATAGCAAAGATTTGCTTGGTTTCTATAAATATTAATAACAATAATGAGTCTTGTGTGATCTTAACTTAAACATGGGCACATACAACTACAGATATAACATCAGAAATCAAATACAATGAACCCAAATGTATACAAATTGAAAAATTTGTTAAAATTCTTCTAGGTAAACTTATATTAAAATCTCATCTGTCTTAACCAAGTAAAGGTTGGTTTTCCTAATCTAGATAGGAAAAATTTTAATTGCACTTTTTAACTTTTAAAAAAACTTTTTAAAATAACCTCTTCCAAACCCAGTTTAAGATGTCACTAATTGTACACTAATTGTAATTAAGTGTGAATACATAACAATCAAAAATGTATTACATACTTGAATATTTTTTACATTTAATTACTTGGAAAAATACTTTAGCATCTGTGCTGCAGTATTAAGTAGGTAATTATAAAAGGTCAATATCATTTAGTTTATGACCTTTTTCTGACTGAAAACAATGACTGCAGAATGTTATCAGAACTATTAAGGAGCCATGAAAAGAAAAGTTAACACCAGTTGAATGGAAAATGTTTCTTCTATTCTAAACAATAAATAAGCACAGAGGAACAAGAGATACTTTTAAAAAATCATTTAAAAAATCTTTTTCTAGAAGAAAAGTAAATTTTTGTTTTATTTTTCCAAGTAATGTATAAAAAAGACACTTTCAAAATCATGTTTTCCGTTAAAATTTATATATGTCGTCTTCATAATTAGGACATTTAAAAATTCAGAAAAGATTCTGTAGTAGAACAGAATTTTCTTCAAGGGTAAAACCTTTCATTTAAAAAATTTTTAAACCAGAATAAATGACATTTTAAAAAATCTGAATTAAATATGCATATCCAACAACCCTATAGAAGTAATACTGTTTCTTGATCAGTGTCTCTTTGCCTAATATTTTTAAATAGTTAATGTTTTAAACATTTTAATATAAGTTTTTATTTTTGATATCTAACATTTTAATATTTTTTAATACTTCATGTTTTTAAAGGATGAAAGAAGTAGTAAAAGGTGGAGTTAAAATAAAAATACGCATGGTGTCATGATGCGCATGGTGTCATGATGCACATGTTAGCAAACCCTTATTCTGGCTCTCATTCCCTGGTTTCCTTTGGGTTCTGGTTTCCCCAGAGGATACTTTGATGTCCAAGGCTAAGTTTAAATTCTAGATTACTGGTGCAAACACAGAAATCAACAAGATCTGCAACATGAGTCTGCAATATGAACCAGTACCACATTTCAGTGGTTTTATTTAAATGTGCTTGAGACTCACCTGATAGCCTTACTACTGATGTTTTCTACAATGTTAAGAATCCATTTTAAATCCAACTTGTAAGGAAGTACTCAAAGATAGAACCACAGCACATGTTAATAATATGGACTAATCTCTATGTATACCTTACTATATTAGATTTAGCAACAACGTTTCATTTATCTAGGTTTACATGATAGCTAAGAAAGGAAGGGCAAAAAATGTATGGGAAAAAAACATGCAAATCTCTTTGAAAAATAAGAAGATCTGAAGGTACTTCAAAAAGTTCATAAAAAGATTTTCATTACCTTTTAATTCTATTTTTCCATGAACTTTTTGAAGTACACTCATATGCTTGAATCAGAAAATGAGATAAGTTCAAAATGGAAGTTACTCTAGACACAGTACAATCAATATTAGTTACGTTACTTTTATTCTAGATTTTTCTTACAAAAGATACACAAAAAAGAGAGCAAGGTCACTGCTACCTCAGAGCAATAAGGATGAAGTCAAAAGAGCAAGGTAAAACAAAAAGGATGTTTATATGCAACATTTATGCAGTTATAAATAAAGTGAGAGGGTTTGGAGATTTAAGAATATTATAAATATCTTTGATGACATGCTACAGAAATTTAAAGCATTTTAAATACAGATTTAACTGTCAATGAAGTGAAAAACAAAGCAGCAAGGTGCATTACTTACTCTTTTAGAACTGCATACCATATTGGCAGTGGTAACAAACAATATACATAGTAAGTCCAGGGACAGGCTTGAATCAGCAAGAAAAATGCTATAAAAAGGCCAGCAGCTACAAAGGTATATGACAGGAGATGGCTTGGTTTCTGAAAATCAAACAAAACATTAAAACACTTCCAAACCCATGCTAATTGATAGGTTTTTAAAAGAGATTTTATAAAGTGAAGAAAACATATTACTTTCTTTCAATGGTTCTACAACTAGATGATTAATCAGAGTTGTGTTAAAAAATAGAAAAAAAATCTGTCATTTGAGAAAACTGCAGAAGAAAAATGGGACACCTTGGAATTGTTACAATTAAGCAATTCTCAATTTAAAAGTGACTATGGCTAAAATTTGTTTGCAAGTAACTTGTTCAGAACTCTGAACAGATTTCTTGTTAGGAACAATTTTACAAATGTTGATTGAATTCTCTGGCTAGCTCACAACAGCCTGTTTAATCCATAATAAAGTATGGGACCTAATCTTCATTTGGAACAATATTTCTATCTATTCAAGCTCTAACTTGACACGCTGCCCACCCTTCACTCTCCATTACTCAAACACAGTAGATGCATTGAGTCATGTCTATTCTTCCCAAACACCTGCCAGACTGAAGGGAGAGTTCCTCAATGGAAGTGACTAGTTATAGTCTCCAAAGGCTACACGGGCCCATGCTTCTCTGGGTCAGGTATAATGGTGCAAGAGTCTGGAACAGAAATTCCAATGAGCAGGAAAAGAATACACTTATGGGGAGGTCGTAATGCCAAGAACAAGAGTTCTAGGGCATGAAGTAGGAGTTAGAAAGGGGTACAAAGTGTCTCCAGAAGAGGTTAAGCATATGTCGTGCCAGGCTAAAGCCTGGAATCCTCACAGCACCAATTGTGGAGCTCTTAATCCCATTCGTGACGCCAGTTGTAAAGCTAGGCGACCAGGCCAGTTGCTGGCTCTTTTACCTGCTGGTAATCCTGCTGACTGGGCCGGTTGTTGCCCTAGGACTGGGTCTGGAGCTCCCAGACCCCTCAAGCCCATTCACGGACTGGGTCCCCAAACCGGTCACACACCAGGCTGGGTCACCAGACCCCGTCACGCAGGTCTATGAACTAGGTAACCAGCCAAAAGGTCCTTGGAGCCATAGGTTAGAAAGCATGGCCATGCCAGGCGGATGCCCGAGGCTGAGCCTGCCCGCCTGCTTCACTAAAACTCCTCTCTCTCTCTCTAAAGAATACGTGAATAGCAACAAAACTAAAAAGATACACTGGCACACATGCGCACTACCTGCACGCGCGCGCACGCGCGCGCGCACACACACACACACACACGCACACACACAATTTGCCACACACACACACACACACACAATTTGCTTACAAAGGATGCTGAACCACACCCAACTGGACCCGAGGAGAGGCCCCTGACCAAACTATTCTATTTTCCCAACAGCATACCTGGAGAGAAGAAAATGGGGAAATGGAATGGAAACAGGAATGGAAGGATAATGTGGTACTCTCTTAGTTCTATTCTGTTTTCTCTTTGCTTTTCCCTTGCTTTGCTAGTCAAAGCTAAATAATGTGATAATTAAGAACTGCCTTCTGGAAGTAGGAGAATTTTGGAAGAAAAAGCAAGAGTTGTTTTTCCTTTTTAGTTCCTCCCTACTGGCATAAAAGGTCATCAGAAAGGAAGTAAGAAACAAGGATAAATTAGGGCATAGTTGTAGAAAGGGGTATAAAACACAGTACTGTAACTAAGTTTGGAGCTTGACCGATCAGAATTGAAATCCTGGCCCTGCCTGACACATGCTCAGTGTGTGAACCATAAGCAAAATACAAAACTTTCTGAGACTTAGTTTTACACCATCAATAAAGTGAGAATAATAATTCCATACCTATTTATCAAGATTGGTAATGTTTAAATGAGATTATGTGAAGATTTTAACAAAATGCCCAGAATATTACTACTGCTTACTAATGATGACTGCTATCATTACTTATTTTTATTCTCTCTTCCCCTGCTTCACCTCTGCTTCACCTTTGCTTCACCTTTGCATTAGTCCCAGCAATCATTACGAAACTAATCAGTAAATGGCACTGGAATGGAGATGTGAGAGATAGTAATGAGGTCCCTTAACAAGCGTACGGGGAAAGAAGGAGCAAAACTCAAATAGACGTGCACAGATGGAGTCTCTAAAGCTGACATTGGCTGAGGCAGCTGGTCATTGTAAGGGATGAGGACTGGTTTTACATCACTCTGAGAACAGTAAAATAATAAGAAAAGAAGTTTACAAGTGTTTCTGAAAAAAAGAACTCAAGGGATTTTTTAGTCAATACAATATAGTATAATTGTCTAATCCTTTGATACATACAGTAGTAGATATTAGAAATGACACCTACTTGTAGGAAACTAAATTTTAAAGAAAAGAATTAGGTTTAGCTGTTCCTACTAAGGCAGGAAAATGAAGTAACATTGAAAGGATTATAAATAACAAGAGGGGGGACATTTTCTACTTAATCTTGAATTGACTTCCCAGGCCCCCCAAAACAACTGATGATAACAAACCATGCCATGTGTGTTGTGATTACTACTTCATCCAACAAACATTTATTAAGTCGCATACTCTATGCTATGTTCTGTACCAGGAGCTGTCCTTCAAGGAGTTTAAACTATATAGGTGGAGACAGAATGATGGGTCTTGGTTTAAGGGGTTAATATTTTGGGACTTCACTAGGTAATAAGAGAAGAAGGGAAAACAATAGGGTAGACCTGTGACAAAATAAAGATGTTTAGTTTCAAAGCATAAGACATCAGAACTGGCAAGAACAAAGGAGAAGGTAAAAGTATACAGAAATTAAATGCAAATTTCAATTAAGGGGAACTGTGGCAGCAAATTACATATCCGGGAAAGAGACTAGTCATTGCACTTTCCTGTAATAGTAATAAATTAGAAAAGACCTCTATAACCTGGGGGACACTGTCACATAAAATTGACATTAACTTTGGAGTCAGACCTTTTAATTCTGATGCTGCCGTTCTACTTACTTGTCAATTTAACTAAACCATTTAGCCTGTCTGAAACACGTTTCCTCATCTGGCAATGGAGAACAATATTTGTTGCAAGCTCATTTCTCACTCCCTTACAGGTATGGGAGATTATCCTAAATAATCTGGGTGGGCCTGATTTAATCAGTTGAAAGGCATCAAGAGCAGAACTGAGGCTTCCCGGAAAAAGAAATTACACCTGTTGAATGCAGTTTCAGCTTTTTTCTGTGAGCTCCAGTTTGCCCTTCCTGATGGCCTGGCCTATGGACATAGGACTTGCCTAATTAGCCCCCACAATCACATAAACCAATCCCTTACACTAAAGCTCTTAATATACGAGAGCACTTCAAAAAGTTCTTGAAAAGATTTGTATTATCTTTTAATTCTATTTTTCCATGAACTTTTTAAGTACCCTTGTATATCTCTCTCCTACTGGGTCTGCTTCTCTGGTTTAACCCTGATACACCAACTCTTCACCAAATAAAATATAAGTGCTATAGTCTAGCATTTGAGGCCTTTGATTACTTCGGCCTAATCTTTACTGTCAGTATTGTCTCTTATCAGTCCCTTGAATACATTTCTCACGTTCCACCCAAACTGAACTATTTATTTTGAAGGCAGCATGGTGTAGAAAGAGCAAGAATTTAAATGTTAGAAAATATAAGTTCTGTTATTTAAATTGCATGTCTCGTTGAGCCTAAATCCCCCCATCCATATTATGAGAATTATAATCACAGAATTTAGGGTAGTGTTAAGCTTAACTGAATAACCCATAAGGGGTCATCAAAAGGTTCATGGAAAGATTCATATTATCTTTCAATTCCATTTTCCATGAACTTTTTGAAGTACCCTTGTATGTAAAGCACCCAGGAAAGTCCTGGTACAGTGGGGCTCAATAAATATTATTTATTATCTCAGTGTAATAACATATTTTACCAACTCTGCCTGCATTTATATCATTCAATTTGCTTTAATTTTCATCCTCTCCCTGCAGTCTGACTGTTAAATTTCCACCAAGACTTACTTTTTCCTGTTATCATCATCTAGCTAAATAAAGTAAGCTCTCCTTTATTTAAAATATCATAGTCTTTGTATCACCTCAAATACTTAACATATATTAAAGTTGCCTTATGTAGTGTAGTGTAGATATAGTGACCTATATTTGGTAAGGTGGTTATGTGTGTACATCTCTTACCTACTTTAATCCTAAGCTCCTTGAGGTCAGAATCTGAGTTTTATATTTCTTTGTATAGCCTATGTAGTGTCTAGCATTGTACTGTACTCAATTAAATATTGGCTGCATTATCAGATTAATGAATAAAGAAGAATTATCAGCTATGAAATCTTGTTGATGTATCAATCTAAAAACATCCTATCCTTTCTCAATAACCTGAGCACTAGGATAAAGATAAAAAGGCAATCTTTGGCACAAGAATGCTCTGGATTCAAGCCTCAGTCCCCACATCCTAGTTAGCCGTTACCAAATTACTTAATCACCCTCAGCTTCAGTTTCCTCTTTCGTAAGCAGAAATTATGATGCCTACTACCAGCACTGTTATAAATCTAAGATGGCAGAATATACTTCAAGTACTCAGTAGAATGCCTAGGTATACATATATCCATTACTAAAACACAAGCGTTCTGTTTCTTTTTCTACCATGTAGTAAATTACTGCTATTCTAGCCAACTTGACATACATTCAAATAATTAAAATTAGTTGGGGGGAAATTATTTTAGGTACATTAAACATTATAAAAAATTGAAATAAGCTCTAATGGTCTTCCTTCCATTACAGAGAAATAAAATATAAAATTGTGAAAGTTACCACTGGAAATGTTTGTAGACTACTACTATTAAAAACACACCACCAAAACATATTACTTGTTAGAGGATTTGCACATGGTAATAAATCATTAGAGAGAATGAAGCAAAGGAAATGGAAATGGCATATTCTCCCTTGTAAATGACAGTTAGCAATATATTTTAAGAGTAAAGTGTTTTAATGCAGTAAAAACATATATATACTGTTATATTTTCTCAGTAACATGAAGTACTATTGAAGAGGTTTTTTTATTTGTTGCACTGAAAGTAGAGTAAATTAGGGACAAACTCGAAATGAGGATATGTAGAAAGTTCTGGAAATTTGTATTTTGAGAAATCTCAGAAAGTTGAAAGAAGGTAAGAATAATTCTAGAAAATCATATTATTTAAAAAGGAACAGTTTGAATAAATGATTTTATCACTTTTAATATCAGATAAGTTAAATATACTGCTTTGAAGTAGTTTTATGGCCATCTATACTAGAAAGATATGGAATACCTACAATATGCTGACTAGTTATAAAAAAGAACAGAAAATCAACATCATTAACACCATAGAAGAATTTAAATTGTTTATATAGCTATCTTTACAACCTTTTTAAGTCACAAGGCCATTATTATTAATACATCTTCTTCTCAACTGAAGAAACAGAGATAACAGAAAACAGACCCAATACAACAAAAGCAAGTGAAAGATAAATAAGAGTTGGCTTAGAACAATGACTTGTACATTCTATAAACTCATTATACTTGATTTAATTAAATTTATTTCCTTAGTTCTAGTGAATTTACACTATCATCTGAATCTTCATTATATTTTCTGAACCTACCTTAACTTCTTTAATAACACCTCTTGCAAGGTTGGAATGAGACTTGATGATCAACAAAGAAGTATAAGATGTCCATCCCACAAAACCAAGAACAACACTGATGCCCAAAAAGAACCGATCATATGTGTGATAGTAGGACAATCCTTTCAATGCAAGATGAATCAGCTCTTTGCAAAGGGAAATCTATGGAGAAAGGAAAATATAACTTGCACATGGAATGAATGATAAAAATCTAAATTTCAGAGAAAGAAAAATTATAAACTTTCTAACAGCCAGACCGTTGTATGAAAATTAGAGTGAGTAACTAGATGACGGATTGAGAATAGATTTTAATTGTTTGAGGATCTTCTTGGAAAGTATGAGAAAAATACAGAATAAAATAAACTTTTTAATCTTCATAAGAAAAGCCACTTTCAATGTAAACTATCTATAATATGAAATGTTTTAAAATGATCATTTTGCAGGAATGATCTTCAGATGACACATGAAAGAAAGAAATGAAGGATCTCTAATTCAAGTCCCAAATAATGAAGATGGCTATATTTATATCACTTTTTACTTTCTCATGTCACATTACCCAAATCAGTTATAAAACATCATTAAAACAGCTTAATATTTTGAAGGAGAAGAATAGCTTAACATTTTAAAACCAAAAAATAAACATTAGAAATGCATGGACTGGCAATTACTTAGGCAATTATACAAACTGAAAACAATTCTTTCCTACTTTAAAATTATATGACCATTTAACAAGGGAAAAGAATTAATGGAATACATAGTGGGGTAGGAACTGGGAAGAGTCAAAGCTTCAACATGAATCATTAGACTTCTGATAGTGTATAGATAATTCCAAATGACAAATATGTGGTATTCTAAAATATTATATAGAAGGTGACAGAAACTTGGAATATATTCCTTCATTTAAAAAATGGTAGTAGTTCATTTCTAATAATAACCTAGAAAAATTTATCTGTAATATTATCTGAAAGAAGAGAAGTATGTCCATGGCTAAAGCAGCTACTCAGGAAATTCAACCCCTCCTTGAGGGCTCAGGAAAGCTCCCTGGCCTGCGCACTTTGCTCTCCACAGCCATACCTCACCCCTCCCACCCCCGAAATGATAATCAGTTATTTATGCCTACAAGGCTTGTATACTTACTGCTTCATCAAACTTTCTCTGTTTTATATAAGATCTTGTTTTTCTTAAAATATTGAGCTGTTCAGAATCAGAAAGCAACCTACAAAGGAAAAAGAGAACAAAACACCAAATATGTTTAAAGTGTTTCCTAATTTTGATTGCATTTTTTCTTGGGTTTTTTTTTTCCTTAATTAAAAAAAGGGGGGGGATAATGAAAATTGAGAAAAAAAAAATCAAAACACAAAGGAAAGAAATAAACCTCAAGCTAAATTGTATTGTTGCTGGTTATCTGAACTCTTCCAGGAAATAGTTTAAGTTAAATTTAGTTTTCTTGATCCAAAGTTTCAACTGCCAAACTACACTTATGAAAGTCATATAATCCATCATTTTGAAGAAATGTAATACTCTGGCTAACAAAGAAATTCGGATTAAATCAAAATAATGAAACACCAATGGCATGAGTTACACTACTCAGCCCTCCTCTGTTCATGGCAGATGAGAGATAGGGCAGATCTATCACTGCACTTTTTGCCCCTGACCCAGACAGGGCCTGAGAATTCTCATTAGCAAAGAGCTCTAGGCAGAGCCTGACCAACAATGGAAGTTAGTGAATAATTTGAACCTATTCATCATTCTTATACTATACCATGCTCGTATACCTTTTTTGATTTCTCTATTTTTCATTTCTCTTTCCATCATTTCCCTGTCCTGTTTTACCACAGTAGAAACCTTAAATACACAAGAGAAATACTCCTAAGAAATACTGCATAACCCAAAACTAAACATATTTAAGTTTATGGAATGTAGAAACTGAGGAAATACAATCAGAACTCAATTATGTTAATGAAATAAATGAGTACCTTTAAACACAAATTTGAACATATATTGCTTAACTAAAACCTGCATTCCTTGTAAAGTAAATACTTTTACATTTAAAAAATGCTTAGAAAGTTATTTAAGGATATATCAGTTTGGACCATATGAAATTGATGTTTTTATATGTCACTAACTACTAAATTAAATATTGGCAACTTCATATGGTTTGATATAAATATAATCACCTGTCTCTTTTCTACTTGGTGCCAGCAGTCTCTGAAGAGGTAAGACCGAGATTTGTAGGAAGTAAATCTTTTAAGCAATAATTATTAATTTTATGATGACTTCTTTCAGAATCTGAAACTCTTGTCTAGAAAATGCAGATAATCTAAAAGCTTACATATAATTTCAGCCCAGAAGCCCATCTATCAATTCTCTTAAGAGAGTTCTATGGGAAACCCTAATTAAGAATCTGTGCCTATTCTAATAGCTGCCAGATCTTCCAACTCAGGGGAACCCAGTTGCTAGGTTCTTGTGTTTCAGACAGCAGGAAAAATCCCCACCACTGTACTAACAAGGATTTGGAGAAAGGTACCAGGAGGCAGGGACAAAAAAGAAAAACAAGTTACTTTAAAATGTTGCCTTGATCCAGTTCTGTGTCTCTTTAGACACTACACATTTCAGAATATTTTCCTATTAGTCTTAGAAACGGAATTACTGGGCCAAAGGGCACAGGCCTATTTTGAAAGCTGTATCTAAATTAAATTTTCCACATTTCTTAAAAGCCTCCTAGTTGACCTCCTTCCCCTTGCTCTGATCCACTCAGCTTCATAAAATACTGATTCATCCTCTAACTTACTTGCTATTGATATGGACATCTTGGGATGTATAGCTCAAGGTTAGAGCATTTGACTGCAATTGATATGGGCATCTTATTTTCTACTTCATCAGTTCCAATCTTCCTGGACTATTGATGACCCTCTCCTTCTAATCCACCTAATTTCCCATATCCCAAATCTATCCTCAGCTACATAGCTGTTAAAGTCTTCATTCTTTCCCTATCTTCTTTTCACTTGTGAGTTGTTGCTTGTAAAGATCTTCCCCTCTCCACTTTCCAAAATCAAATCTTCATAATCCTTTATGGTCCACTCCAAATCTCACCTCACACCATCAGCACTTTAGTGTGGTCTAATGGTCAGTTTATTTCTCTTCAATTAAATTTTAACCTCTGTGTGGACCAAGATAATGTCTTATACTTTCATTAATATCCACAATTATACTTAGCAAAGTGCTAAGCATATAAAAATGAATCAATAAACCTTAATTGAATAAAATGCCATCAAAATATCGCAGACCTAAAAAAGGAAGAAAAATAAGATAATAATATACACTGCCATTCTTAAAGCACATAAGGATTTGCTAAATTAAATTAAAAGATGGGGGAATAAAAGCTTGTCTGAAACTAATTACTATTTAAGCTAATTAAATACACATTCTCAAATCAAGTCTTAAGAAGAATGAGAGAAGAAACATTTTTTAAGGAGAAATATTTGTGTATTATGTTATTATATTATACAAGGAGTCTTCAAAAAGTTCATGGAAATATTCGTATTCTTTCAATCTCATTTTTCCATAAACTTTTTGAAGTACCCTTATATTATATTATATCATATCATATCATATTATGAGTACTCAGGTAAAGAAACGAGTCAGGCTAATTTATAATTTTTCCTAAATGGACTATTTATAAATCTTGGGACATACCAAAGGTTTGCAATATGTCTGCAATTCATCAGAATGTCCTATACAAATCTCACTGTAGCACCATGACATTAAAGACTCTCATAAACTTGTCCACCAAAATAAACTTTGAACACCAAGGTCCAAGGTTTGATCCCTGTACTGGCCAGCCACCAAAAAAAAAAAAGAAAAGTTTTTTTTTGTTTTTTTAGTTTTCCATCAAGTTGAAAAGGGATGCAAAATAAACTTTTTTAGCATCACATATTTGAAACATAAAGAGGTTTTGTGAGAAATGTAAAGTCCAGAATATAAGGTACAATATGTTCATATTTATGTTAAAAAGGCAAAACAAAACAAACAACAAGAAAGCAAAGGGGGTTGGCAGGGGAGTAATTAAAGAAATGCCATACATAAATTAAAATCAATTGAGAGAGATCTGCATATATCAACATAAAAAAAATCTTGAAAATCATACCAAATAGAAAAAAAGAATTAAAAAAATAGATTTTTTAAATAGGAATTAAATTGTATTACACCATTTTATTTCCTAAAAATAAATAAAGAGGACCTAAAAAAATATGGTAAAAATACTAACATTTCTTAAACCTGGGTTGTGAGTACAAGTAATTTTGTTATATTCTCTATTCTTGTGAGCATGTTTGAAATACCTCATAATTAAAATTTAAAATATGTTAACAAGAGGTATGTATACATACATCTACATATGAACACCATAAGACAGATGCATAATAAACTGCAACTTTGCCTCCAGACAAAAAGACTGTAAGACTGGAACACGGGAAGAAAGGTGACTGTTTATTATCGTTTGTATGATTTTTATTGTGTGCAGGAATTACTTTTTGTTAACTTTTTATTAACCTATTTTTTAAAATAAAACAATTAAAACATTAAAATTTAACCATAGCTTTTATGGCTATGACAGAGAAGCTTGGGCATACCAATACTCTCAACAGGAATGACTAGAAATCTTGATAAAATAAAATTAAAAATCTACTTGAAGGTACTAAGATGATCAAGAAATGAAGGACTAAGACCCTAGAGAGAAGGAAATCAAGAAGTAATTCAACATTCTACAAGCTTTAACTCTCAGGAAATCTGTCATTTTGGCAGAAGACAAAAGGCTGAGAATTTGGGCATACAGCAGCTGTGAGGGGGTAGAGAATCCAATAAGGCCTTTAGCAATTTTATAAGACTGGAGAGATAAAAATTAAAGTGTGAGGTTGCCAATGCAGCTAGGACTTGAGAACCTAAGAAGAAAGAAAAATAAGAAAATAATATGCAATTTCATTTTGGATTTGGAAAAAATAAAAGACATCAAAAAAAGCTCATCGGGAACTACTTAAACTAATTTAAGATAGATTATGAGGTGAAGTATTAGGACGTGAGAGAGAATACTATTTGCAGAACACAGGTAAAGAAACACAGGCCAAGTCCTGGTGAGAAGGGAAATAAAAAAGGAGGTAAGTCTGACACTCAGTTGTGCAGGACAAGAGGAAAAAAAGAAAGCCCCTGGAAAGCAAACAGAAGTTTTGTTAGTCTCAATATGTATAAGAGACAAAAACTGGCATTCAGGAACCACCAGAGGGGAAAGGATCCAGATAACACAGCAAGCTCTCAATTGGAATGCCTGGCAGGCTACACTCTTAAGAGCAGAGACAAAAAAAAAAAAAAAAAAAAAAAATCTTAAACTGAATGAGAATGGGAATAAGACATAAAAAGCTTGTAGGGTGCAGATAAAGCTGTGCTTAGAGGAAAATTCATATGTATATATTATTCAAAAAAAAAGACTGAAAATCAATTGTCTAGGTAGCCAATTCAAGAGGTCGGAAAAGGACAGCAAATTAAACACAAAAGGTATAGAACAAATATTAAAGATTGGAGCAGAAATTAATAGAAAAACAAACACACAATGAGAAAAGAAATAAAACCCAAAGTTCATTATTTGAAAAGACTAATAAGATTGCTAGACCTCTAATAAGACCGAGCAAGGAAAAAAAAAAAAAATAGAGAAAGCGTAGAGGCACAAATTAATAATATAATATACAAAATTTAGAAGGAAGTATTACTACAGATCCCCCAAACATTAAAAAAATGTTATGGTAACTTTTACACTGGTGCATTTAAAACTTTAGACGAAACAGACAAATTCCTAAAAAAAAAACACAACTTAGCAAACCTGAGAAAGAAACGGAAAATGCAATATGCATTCTACTTGATCACCAGTGTTGGTTCTGAGGTGCAATTGGATATAAAAGTCACACAGCCACAATAAGCCACACCTGACACTGGCTTTACTTAGAAAAATACAACGTATTAATAACTTTCTGTTCTGTGGGAGTCTACACATCAGTCCAGAGACTGTTTTATGATCCCAAAAGTGATAGCTCAGGTGTGAAAGAATGAGATCACGAGGGTTGGTGAGGTAGCCAATCTGGTTTAGAGGTTCCATGCCCCATAGGAACCCATCTCCCTCTTTCTCTTTTATTTAAAGTGAGACATATTTCACATACCATAAAATTCACC